AAGCCATACTGAGAAGCTAGAGCGGCTTAGTGTGACGATGCCACCAGAGGTCCGGGCTGAGTTTGAAAAGTCCTATGGACGGATTTTGGACCTCCTGAAAATTAGTGTCGATCAAGTCTTCCTCAGGGTACTGATTCATTTTTGGAACTCCAGTCTGCGGTGCTTTGAATTTCCGCAGTTCGACATGGTGCCTACCCTAGAGGAGTATGAAACAATGTTGAAATGGCCCAAGTTAGCTGGGGTCCATATCCGCCATGAGGCGTATACTCCCGCAGCACCCGCCGCTGCCCTTATCCATCTCGCCGTACCGACAAAGTACCCCGATAAAGAAGGGGAACACCCAGTGGATGGAGAGTATCGATGTTAGAAGACCACCTGTCCTACCTGGCTGAAAGGGCAGAGTGGGTTGCCTTCAATAAAACCCTGGCGCTAATAATCTTTGGAACGATCCTGTTCCCCTTCCACCTTGACACAATCGATCAAGCCGTCATGGACGCTTTCTTCGCTTGGGACGTAAATTCGAAGAGTCCCCTGCCTGCTATTCTTGCCGACACCTTGCTCTCGGTAGATTTCTGCCGTCAGAAGCAAGGAAGAACACTCCGCTGCTGCTCTTCATTACTTTATGTGTGGAGCATCACGCACCTCTACGCCTCCAGCCACATGGGGATATTCCCCGACCCTTTGAGAAGCTTCTCTAAAATCCCCTCCAACGACGCCTCGACTATAGAATGGAGGGATGAGTTAGAACAAAAGGACGTCAACAACATATCTTGGGTCTGCCCTTGGTTCCGACCTGGTCCAGTTCTTGTCAGATGCGGGAGCTATCCGAATGTACCCTTGATAGGACTCAGGGGTTGCATAGCCTACTCACCTAGAGTAGCTATGAGGCAACTCATGAGAACCCAAACTACTATCTCCCAAGGGGAACTCGGAGGACTGTGCTTCTTTGGAGACCCGTGCACAATCGCCAACTCACTAACCGTGAGGAAAGCATGGGAAAGGCCAGTCTACATGGGAGACAGAGAGCTAGGAAAAGCTCGGGTAACTGTCACCAGTGACTATGAGGCATGGAGAAGAAGAAGAGAGATGGCCCGACCATCCATCACACCCGCGCCAATCGCCAACAACGAAGAGTTGCAGGCACAAGTCAATGCCTTGACCCAGAGGGTAGAGATAATGGGAGCCCAGATACGGGCCCTTGAGGAAAAAGAACAAGCCTCTATCCTCACGATTGACGGTCTACAAAGGCAGGGCAAGAAAAAGGATCATGAAATAGAACGCCTCAAGGACCAATGTGCTGACGCTAATGAACAGGCTATCCGAGCATCCAAAATTGCCAGAACCAGCTCGAATAGCCAACTGCAAGAGATAACCGCCAGGTCAGCACACCTTGAGGCGGAATCAGCTCAGCAGGCTCAAAAGATCAAGGAGTTGTCATAAGGGCTCCTCCAGGCTCAGATAGATCTCCGCCAAGAACGAGAGAATAATAGAAAACTGAGCAGAGGCCTCTATGAGCTACGCCTTAAAGAGAAAAGCGGGCTAGCTCAATATGACCAAGTGCTACAAGAAAAGGACCGAGCTGTTGCAAGGCTCGATGAACTAGAAGCCTTAGTCATACACCAAGAGGCGAAGATCAAAGAGGCTCAACAGTACAGCGAAGAAATGAGCCAATCGATCCACAAGCAAAGCGAAGCGCTCGCTCACCATGTCCGGGAAGCCGAGAGAGAATTACAAAGAAAACAAGACCCGCCTGTGGGTTTCTTTAGGCTTTTCCGTTTTTGCCAAAAGACGCTTCGTAGTATGGAATAGGAGAATGTACACCTTTCAAAGAATTAATGAAATCTTTCTCCTTATTTCGCACTTGTCTACTTGCATACATGAGCATGCATTTGCATAATTTAAATTCCCCTCCTTCACACTTAATAAATAAGATAATAAAAAGGAAGGATTAACTAACACGTCTTCCAACTCAGAAGAATGGAGAGAAAGCCACTCCTAATAAAGCTCACATCAACGGTCGAATCACCGCAAGAGGGAAATAAACCTCGGCCGTTGGTCCTCAAGAATAAAGAAGAGGGGGCAAGGATGCCAGTGCGGCTATTTATGCCACGTCCTTTCCCCTACGAGTCAAATAAAGCTGTACCATGGAGATATGAAGAATCTTCACCAATAAAAGAAGAAATAACAAACATAGCCGGCATTGGGGGCACAACTAGAAGTGGAAGAATCTACTCCCCCAAGGACCCACAGGAAAAAGGAAAAAATAAAAAGACCGAAGAAGAAAAAGAAAATAAAGAATCCAAGGAGGAAACAGAGGAATTACTCCAGTTTATAAGGCAGAGTGAGTATTCCATTATTGACCAGCTCAACCGTACGCCTGCAAAGATCACATTGCTATCTTTGATAATGAGCTCGGAACCACACCGGAACGCCCTGCTGAAGGTCTTGAGCGAGGCGCATGTACCCCATACAATATCCCAAGAAAAGGTTGAGAGGATCGTTGGTCACATCACGGCAAACGATCACCTCACCTTCACAGAGGAAGAACTCCCCCTCGAGGGGCCAAAACATAACAAGCCCTTGCATATCTCGGTTAAGTGCAAGGAATACCTCATTGCCAAAGTTCTTGTGGATAACGGGTCGTCCCTGAACGTGATGCCCAAGTGCACACTGGAAAAGTTGACCATCCAAGGAACCCGTTTGCGCCCAAGCAGCACCATCGTTCGAGCCTTCGACGGGTCAAAACGAGAAGTAGTGGGAGAGATCAAATTGCCAATTCAAGTGGGACCCACTATCTTCGATGTTGATTTCCACGTAATGGATATTACTCCAGCATACAGCTGTCTCCTCGGTAGGCCTTGGATTCATGACGCTAAAGCAGTACCTTCGACGCTCCACCAAAAAGTCAAATTCATAGTGGGTGACAAACTGGTCACGGTCCAAGCAGAGGACGATATCCTGATCAGTGGACCGTCCGCCCAACCTTATGTGGATGCGGCTGAAGAGGCCCTTGAAACATCTTTTCAAGCGCTCGAAATTGCCAGTATAGAGCGACTTCCCAGAAATACAAAGGTAGCCCGTATGATGCTGAAGCATGGCTACCATCCTGGCCAAGGGCTGGGGGCAGGTTCCCAAGGAATGAGGGAACCCCCAGAATTCAAAGACAATCCTTGCAAATATGGCCTAGGATATAACCCTTTCAAGGGCCAAGCGGGAAGAGCAAAAGGGAAGTCCCCCCTCCGCACACTCAAGCAGATTTTCCGAAGTGGAGGGGTGCAAGCGTCAAAGGCCACTCTAGTCATTAGGAAATCTTTTTCTTTGCTTAAGGGATGTAAACCCCATAATTGTTAGAGATTATCCCCCGGGGCGAGCCCGACCCCCGGGCATTTCAGGGCACATATTCCCTTATTAATTAATAAAGAATGATTCTTTCTATCTGCTTCTCTTCTTTCTACTTCTGACTTGACCACATAAATAACCCTGTCTAAGTAAACATAAAAAGAAAAGAGGAATAAGAAGCGCTTCCAAATAATCCAACCTTCGTCATTACTATCATCATCAAGTTAGCTGATTAGAAGCACATAAAAATAAGACTTCACTTAAGCCATAAAGAAAGTCACGCTTCACCAATACTGTGAACAAAAGAATAAATCCAAAAAAAAAAAAGAGAAAAAGCCCAGAGAAGCCAAAGGCCAAAAGAAAAGGGCAAATTACCCGGTAGGAAACCCACTAAGTGGGCTACACAAAAGATAGGGTCAACCCGGTAGGATACCCGAACAACAATAAAGGGTAACCTAGGCAAAAGTTAGGGTTACAAATAAAGGTCCGCTAGGATTCCTCCAAAATTTTACAAGAGAGAGAACCTAGACAAAAGTTAGGGCCAAAGCACAGTATCCTAGTTCGAAAACCCAAAGGGCGATCTAGGGAAATCAGCTAGCCAATTAAAAGCAATGGAAACAAAACTAATATGTGCAAATACAAAGAGAAGAAAAAACGTTTGCTTAGACAAAGCCTAAACACCCAGACTTAACCTTAACCAGCCATTCTTACAAATCCTTCTATCAATAAAAATCAACCCTCTAAAACACAAACCATTGATTTTTACCTCCTTTATTTCTTTTCTCTTGACCCTCACAACAATATTCTAATAATTAATTTGGGAATATGGAGGCGTATAGTCAAGAAGAGGATTGAAATCCCTAAAGCAAGGAAAAAGGGACACTACATGACAAAAGTGATCCACACAGAAAAAGGGGGGAGAGAAAAGAGGAAAAGGAGAAAGAGAAAAAAAGAGAAGAAAGAAACTACCCTTCGGTCACAAAAAACCCGGCATGGTACAGCTAAAAGTAAAACGCAGCGAATCAGAAGGCTTTCAACGCAACAAGACATGTTTGTTAAAATCCTTCTGAAAACTTAACCAAAATAGGCATCATAGGACATCAAAACATAAAAAACATTGCATGCATAAGATGTTTTTAGACCATGTCCTATTACCTCTTTCAAAAATGACAAAAAAGCAATAAAAAAACAAAAAATAAAAAATTTTCTCTTCCGCAAAACGAGACCGCCGTCTGGGACATCCAGACCGCCGTCTCGGTTACTCGACAGGACGAGACCACCGTCTGGACCAACCAGACCGCCGTCTCGTAGCCGGCAACAATGAGACCGCCGTCTCGGTTCACCAGACCGCCGTCTCGACCTGGAGGAGAAACAAGACCGTCGTCTCGTCCACCCAGATGGCGGTCTCGATCTGGAAATTTTCCCTATATATAGGGGGCGTGGCTTTGGGCTTCCTCACAACTCCCTTTGCCCCCAGAAGCTCCTCTCCCAAGCCTCCTCTAGTCAAGATGTTTGGTAGAAGCGCTTCCAGAAAGAGAAGGAGCACTGCTGGTGCTAGTAGTTCCGCAGCACCGCCACCCCAGGACCCTTCCCAGCTAGCGCCACAACACCAGGCCCGTCTTGAGAACATCCGGACCTACCAGTGGCACCCCATGCTCAAGCTAGATTTTAACATCCTGGCTGAGTTCGGATGGGAGGACGACGTCCGGCCCATCTAGACAAAGCATTGGGTGGGGATTCCCGCCGCAACCACCACCTACACATGTGTACCCACAAGCGGTACCGGAGTTCTTAGCCTCCGTCTCTTACTCCGAGAGCCCCTCCACCGGTCCTCGGCCTACAGCCCACTAAGATGGTGACATATTTTATGGGTGGGCGTACTCGTACTTCCACCCTCGTGGAATTCAACGTGGCCATCGGGTTCATCCGGCCCGAGGAGGCCATGATCCAGGAGTACCGTGACGCCATCTCGCTCACGGCCCACCCACCTTATCGCCGCCGAGATGTGGCGAGAGCTCACGGGAGCCACCACGCCGCCCACGCCGATGAGGGGATCTCGCGCTTCCCCCAAGACTCCGCATCCGCCACAAGCCGTTGGCCGGAACTATACACGGGAGGAAAGAGAGCCAAGGCAAAATATCCCTCCCCGACCTCTTCATACTATACCGCATGAGCCAAAGGCGGCGCTACAACCCCGGTACTTCTTCTTGAGAGCCCTCAAGGACTTCGGGAACAGATCTGCGGGGCCGTCCTCGTTGCTCCCCTCATCACCCCTTAGCGTAAAGGTTTGGGTGCCCCGGCCGGAAGAGCCGGCCCACAATCTACGACCCGAATCCATCGGCGGGTCGATCTTGGTTAGCATGGGAATGCCGATCCGCGCAGGGAGCTAGCCGGCTCTCCACCCCACCCCGGACTTCGCATTGGAACTCCAGGATGTGATGCATGAAATGCCTACATCTCCCGACGTCCAACGAAGAACAAGCAGCAGCAGCTCGCCTCGGTATACAGATGACTTATCCGGCATGCACCTCCACATGAACGACCTATGCCAACAGACTCAACAAGCATGACCGTGAGGCAAGAACAGGTGTCCCGCAGGCATGAGCAGCCTATCCCAAACAATGGAGCAATTGTCCCAAAGGCAGGAGGCCTTTGACACCCGACCGGGGGAAATGTACCAAGCACCAACAAAGCATGCGCCAGGATTGGGCGACTTTTCAGCAGAGGTACCAGGATGAAGTCCAAGAGCAGGAGGACTTCAGATACCATATGTACCAGCATTACCCTCCCCAGGGATCAGGCCCAGAAGATAGCCCCTAGGGATAGTAGCTCCAAAATAAATAGGGATGTAATAAAATTTCCTCATGAATGAAAATTTTATTTCATGCATCTTTTTGCCTCCCTTCGCAAAAGCCAGCGTAACAGAAAAAAAAACTAAGAGTAAAAAGGCACACGCTCAATAAAAAGCCAGAATCCAAAATCGCGAGAAAAAGAGATAAAACTGCGAGAAAAAGGTAGGATTAAACCATCACACCAACCAACAAAGTTTCGACTACCAAACAAGAGTCGAACAAAACCAAGATCCATCCGACCAACCAGCCAGGATCAGATGACCACTACCAAAAGAACAAAAACAAAGGATCCCCGGCAATCAACAAAGGCCGGATGAACACCAACAAAATCCCCGACGTGACCTGGATGACTATTCAAGAAATCCGAAAAGCAGTCAACTCAACACAAGAAGCACTCTCCAGAGACATGCGCCTGATCTGCGCTCGAGCCGGATCAGTAAGTCGCACTACCACCCCGATGGGGGTTCATAGCCATCCGAGCCCCGCACAACGGACCGTACCACCCCGATGGGGGTTCATACCCATCCAGTCCCGCACAACTGGACCGTACCACCCCGATGGGGGTTCATACCCATCCAGATCCCGCACAATGGACTCGTACCACCTTGATGGGGGTTCATACCCATCCAGCCCCACACAACGGATCGCAACTACCAGCCTGATGGGGGATTCATACCCATCAACCAAAGGATCGACTACCGTCAGAAGGAGCATCCTAAGGTTTCACGTCGGCGCATGAGCTACCCGAGCAGTAAGCCGCCACCACCACCGGTCCCACACAACGGACTGCAACTACCACCCTGATGGGGGGTTCATACCCATCAACCGAAGGATCGGCTACGTCAGGAGTAGTATCCAGAGGTCTTATCACGTGTTCACCGAAGGGATCGGCTACGTCAGAAGTAGTATCTCGGAAGTGCACGAACACCAAAGTTTTCCCCAGAAGATCAACCGCCGCAAGACGGGATGTCTGAAGGGCAACCGGCAAGAGGGTCAACTCCTTTACCCCCGCCGATCGTCCCGACACGTAAGGCCGCAATCGACCGGATCGGATAAAGGGGGGCACCGTAGACCCCAAATCTTGCCCGACCTCCAAATAAAGACCGAAGACCTCCTATTTGAAGATGGACAAGCCTAACAAGCCATTAGGAGAGACTATTAGGCCCCATACTAGGATAGGAGGGAGTTTCGTACCAAAAATAAGTTTTCTCGCTTTGAGGGGACGAGACCGCCTTCCGGACAACCCGCATCGCCGTCTCGCTTCACGCAGAGGCGAGACCGCCGTCTCGCTTAACGAGACGGCGGTCTCGCCACCTACGAAGAACGAGACGACGGTCTCGTTCACCCAGACGGCGTTCTCGCCATTTTGACAGGTCGAGACGGCGGTCTCGACCCTGTCAGACGAGAACGGCGGTCTCGCCACCTGATAGCGCGAAAACCTATAAATAGGGGCTCTCCCCCCCTCATTTCCACACACCACAGCTGCATAGCTCTCCCTTCTCTCTAAAAACTTCTCTCTAGAATCCCTCTGACGCATTTCCGGAGCTTCTGAGTGCTTCCAAGAGTGATTTTCGGCGTTCGAGAGGTTTTCCGACGTCTTGTAGAGTGAAGGGCTGCCATAAAGCACCCTATTTTTTAGAGAAATAATATAAAAAGCGTGCTTCGAAGGTTCAAATTCTCTCCCTTCACCTTTACCATTTTTATCTTAAATTATGCAATAGATATTAGGGCCATGTAGTCATACTTTTAAATTCCGCAGAATAAAAAGGGCGAAAGTGTATTTTTCTAGTTTATCAATAAAATAAGCCGGCCTGTCATAGGGAACCCGAAAGGGGCGTCGTAAAGGGACTAATACTCCCTTTACACGTAACCAACTCCCTTACCCAACTCTAGTTCTAATGACCAAAGTTGGTTTTCGAAAACCAACGCCTTTTAAAACCCCTTTTCCGATGTTGCTGGTAAAAACATCGGTGGCGACTCCATAGAACCCAAAATGAATAAGTCCTTGGGTTAGCCCGGTTATCGGACAACTCAAGGACACTTTTCGAAAACCTCGTCTCTAGGTTAGCCTGGTTATCGAACAACCTAAGGACGTTGTAACCACCAATAAAAAACGCGAAAACAAGAGGGTCGAAAAAACCATCGCGTCGCTCCGACCGCGTCCCCTTTTTGGGAGGCAGCGACAATTTTTTATTCTAATCAAAATAGGGGGAGAAAATATTTAAAGCCTAATTTGATTACTTTTAAATATTATCAGGTATGTTTAATGTGTTTGTTAGTATGACAGATAAAATAGGTTATTACAAGGCTTTAAAAGATAGTTTTGATCATCATCAAAAAGGGGGAGATTGTTGAACATTCAAGGACTTGATGTGGCACTTGATGAACATGAAGATTATTGATTTTGATGATGATTCAAGAACACAAAGACTTAGAGTGTTGAAGACTTGTTTTGTATTGTAATAACTCTGTTTCAATTAGATTGAGTCTGTAATATTAGAGTTTAAGATAGCCGGTACATAGTCTGCACCTTAGAAGCTTCAAAAAGCTCATATTTATCATCCAGGCTCGGCTTTAATCGATTAAATAGGGAAATAATCGATTAAAACAAGTGAGAAAAATCATTTTCTCGTAACAACTCACTGGTTTAATCGATTAAACCAAATTTTAATCGATTATCAGGCGGTTTAATCGATTAAATCACCTTTTAATTGATTAAAACAGAGAGGTTTGGGTTCTGTTGATATTTGTCTCTGTTTTAATCGATTATTTCAGTCAGATTTTGATTTTTAACTTCAAATCAAACCTATTTTCGAAAACCCTTTTCCCAAGAACCCTAATTTCGAAAATCCCAATTCCCAAACCCTAATTTCTCTACTTAAACTCTTCTATGGCACTCAGAAAAAAAAGGAACAACCTTTTTCATACAAAAGTTAAGTGTTGTGAGTGCCAGAGAACTATTTGTTGCAAGAAAAAGGGGTTTTCTGAACCTGGTGTGGGCTAGAAGCGATAAGAATCACTAAGTGGAGTTCTTAGTGGATTGTGTGTTGTACCGTCTCTGGGGAAAGTTGTTCTTCATCTCTTGTGGATTTCAAGAGAGGTGTTATCTTTACTTTATCTCTTCCATTGTAACTTGTTTGTAATAACTTTGTTTATAGTGACAGCGTTAATCCTCTGTTTGAGTGATTAGCAACTGGACGTAGGGTCATTTGATCCGAACCAGTATAAATTTCCTGTGTAAGATTCTCTTCTCTTCTTTATTTACATTTACACAGTTTTTAATTGGTAAAATTTGGGGAAAATTTTGAAAACCTATTTTTTATTAAGAAACCAATTCACCCCCCCTCTTCGTTTTTGTCCGACCACGCGAACATTCGCGCGCGATTCTTA